CAATGTGAGTTTTATTATTATTCATTTGAATTTCGTCACGCCATTAAGCCTTATTGGTCAGGTGGAAGTGTTTCACGATTTAGTCCAAATGATAAAATATCATCAGGCATACGCGAAGCTCGTGTTCGTTATCGTCCAATGCCTGGTACATGTGTCCATTGCTCTTATTGTTTTGATCGTGTATCGACAGTTCGACTAAAACTTGCTTCATTTTCACATACTGAACTAGATATTCCCAAATATCATGATCAAAAACATATTATCCATCGTTTTCGTAATGGTAAAGATCTATTTGATAGAGCCAGTGAACCATTACGACGTGTTTATAAAAATGAAACTGAATTACCTCGATTATTACAAGTTGAACAAAAACGTTTTGGGTACATGCTGAATAGATCAGCACCTAATGCTGGCTTTCTAGATGTTTAAATAATAATAAAAACGTTGACTAAATTCGCAAAAAAATATTCGAAGGATATGTCTACTTTTGTTTGTATCATTCATTTTAGAAAAAAATTTTGATAAAATATTTTGAAACGAATAGGTTAATTTTTCAGTTCGGAATTGGCTATAGTATATAGAAACCTTAGCTGACTCGAAAATATTTCACATATGGTGAACAGCAACGTTCTCTTCAGTATAGCATATGAATATAAAAGTTTTGATTATTGGGAAATGAGCACGAGTATAGACCCCGTTTTTCAAGAAAAAATATAATGAATCATGGTAGAGGATCATCGTCTTAAATATTTCTTGTATACATTATCTTGTATTCAGGGGCGGCGCGAAGAGGTCAAAGCAGGGGGGGGTACCTTCGAAAAATCGAAGAAAATCTGAGGAAGAAATGTTCTGGGGGGGGGGGGGTACTTTCGAAAAATGGGAGAAAATGTGAAAAAACATCAAATTTTGAGGTATTGTTGAGCAAAAAAAACGAAAATTTTCAAAAGCAGGAGGGGGGTACCCCCCCGCTCGCGCCGCCCCTGCTTGTATTCAATAATAATAAAATTAAAACCGATCATTGAATAGGCGT